TCCGTCTTACGGCTTGGGTGAGAGGGCATCATGGCTCTTCGTGGGGACAACCCCCTTGCTGCTTCCGGGGGGGGGGGCACTGTTCGGAGGGAAGCATACACAGCGCGTCCCCGCTCGGCTTTTTTTTTTTGTTGACTCCGTCAGTCCTCGTGATGATCAGAATATGCGGGAGAAGAAATGTGTACTGCTCTACGATTGGGGTAAGGAGTCAGACTGAGCTGGCTACAAATCAAATGCCACCTTGGCAGGCAAGGTAGGTAGATGGACAGGTCCATTCATCCCTTGTCAAGGCACCAACACCCCCCCCCCTTCCCCCTACCTTACCTACCTTAGCTCGCCGTTTACTGAGGGGGACAGGGTCCGTGGGTTCTTCAGCGCGCCAGTGGATGACCCGAAAGGTGGGATGGGGATCTTGAAGAGTGCAGGGTGGTATGTTGGGATCGTGGAGATGCAAATGAATGCACTGTCATTCTCAAGCCTTGCCTCCAACACTGCTTGCATCAAGTGGCAGGCATCAATATGGAAACCTTAAATTTTCCGGGTCAATGTCCTCAGGAGGGAGGGGGCAATTGTCCCTACTGCTGGATCGACACGGTAGGAGGTATCTATCTTATGGTAGAGTTGTCCAGCCCTGAATCCCACGACTGAAGCGACGACCACTAGGGAATTGCTGTTCATGTCAGATTCAGTCGCACAATGAGTATTCTCCTGCCCAAGGTACGAGGCCGGCCGATTGATCGCCGTTTACTGTCTGCCTCTTAAGCGCCATATCAGTAACCGTTTCGCGTGCAGGCATGCTCCCACTGCCACCCCACGTACAACTAACTGCTTGCGCTTTGTTGGCCCCTGATCTGCGAATCAAAAGTACATGTTGCGCCCAAACCCTGGCAAAGGCGACGTGTTGCATGGACTATTCGTCATGGTGCACGGCGCACAATCCAGCTTGGCAAGGTATACTGCCCTTCCCTGGTCTCGATCCACTGTCGCACACGATGCACTCCCTTAGCCAACCCCCTAGCCCTGACGGCAAGCCTTTCGGAGGGGATAACGGAGCAGTCGCCAAGGTGCGTGCATCCTGCGACCAAATCGTCGAGCCCACAGCCCGGTCACTTGGGCCTCCCGCCCCCCTCTCCTCGATTGCCAGATGGGCCGATCGCTGGGCTGGCATGCAGCTAAAAGGCTAGAACGCGCACGCTCGCTGTCCCCTTCAAGGGCTGGACATTGAGGCGGGCGTGCGATGGTCGGGGGCGGCTGTTGCGGCCTCATCACGGGTAACGATTTGTCCGCGACCTTGCTTCGCCTAGCCTGCCTTGGCTAATAGTCGCGTCAGCTCGCCTTTTCTTGTCGACGAGGCCACGATACATAAATCCGGTGATAGATCCGGATCGAGATCAGGCCGGGACCCAGTCCCGGAAAATCGGGTTCCTTCGATGCCACCATGACACTCTTTTGCATCCTCCGTAGGATTGCGAACTTGTATAGGTCGTGACCCCTGGGCAGACTGGACATCAATAATATGGAAACGCTCGGCGAGTCAGGTCTGCTCTTGGATTGGTTCGTATTAATTTAGGATATGAAAAGACGCAGAAAACCCAAGAACGACCAGCCATTAGCAACGATGCCAAATGACCACAAACCGAGAAGCTTGCTGATAAATGAAACGAAAGCACATGCAACATGAGCTGGGACGAAGACACTGGGGGGCGGAGCCAAAAGTGTGCGAGGGAAAAGGCAAGTGAAAGAGAGATCCATGACCTCCTCACAGGAGGGGGTGATCAAAAAAAAAAAAAAAAGAGGAGGAGGAGGGGCGAGGAGGGGTGAGAGAGAGGACACCACCCACACGGGCACGGCGGTACTACCCCCTTCTTCGCCGGACTGGTGCGCGGAGCTCCCGCCGGGTCCCTCCCCGGGGGGCTGATGCCGCCCGGAACCAACGAGGCGATTCCGTCCGTGCTCCTCTTGGCCCATCGGGAGCTGGCCCGGTGCCGACAAGGCCAAAGACCGCCGCACGAGCCGCCAGCAAGTTTACCACCCCGTCCTGCCCCTTGACGCCCCTCCTTCACCCCTGGTCTACATGGGAGGGTTCGTATGATCAGGACGACGCCTTCTTGAGGAGGCGTTTCAGCATGTTCGGGCGGTCTTCCGCGGTCGAATCTGCGCAAGGCCCAATATTAGTCTCAAAGGTTAAGTAAGACCAGTGTCGTTTAATAGAGTTGGCATGAGATCGGATGAAAACGAAGAAAACAAGTCGCTTGGGACATACCTGCGTTCTTTCGACTGTCACCTGTCAACTCCTTACCGAGCGGGGCGTCGGGCGTCTCGGGGACAAGGGTTGTCTGTGAAGCCATGGCCGCTGCCGCTGCTGCATTGTTTTGCCTGGCTGGCTTTGGGTTTTTGGCTTGCGGTGGACTGCGAGGCATCATTGCTCGCTCTAGGCCGGGTATGACCATGGCTGACTCGTAAATAGAGGGGTTATGTGACCTGTTGGACGGCATTGTGATGGCGTGACGCTGCGGTGCTGTGCTGTGGACGTGGAAGTGCTGCGATCTTGCGCTACTGTAGTCTCATTCACCGTGAGGCGTGTGTTGAATATTGATGCCGGCTTTCTGTGGCTGTTGATCACGACGGTCGCGTCGGACTATATACATCATGAACACGCCCTTCGACTGACAGGAGCAATAGCGGCTTGCTGCCTGGCGGGATGACAACTCGGCTCGGTTTCTGTCCTTCGAGTCACCGAGAAAGCGAGTTCAAAATTGACAGGCCGACGAACATAAGCACCGCTTGTGACGGCAAAGCACCCAACCAAGCTTCTGTTGAGCTTCTGTCATTCGCCAGCTCGAGATTTAGCCGGTACGGCGAGGTAATCGTAATTCACACACGGCCACCTCATGCTAGTTGAGACACGTGAATGGCAGACATGATGGGTGTTCGGGGTGGTCAGACGGAGGAGAAGCCGCCCGAGCTCGGTAGCGGGGCCTTGCGCCCGTTGACTCATACCGACGGGAGGTGCAGTGCGCTTACGTTTCGCGACGTCGATTCGATCAAGGCCCGGCTCGAAAACCCATATCCAATGATGTCCGAGCCGAAGCCGTGATAGCAAATGACAAGGTTTCGACCGTTGACCAAACGCGACACCAATCGAGTGACCGAGCTGATGATGGCCAGCTTGCATGAACAGCTCATCACACTCGGCTCGGAAGTCTGTTGTGGGCGCCCCAGGCACCTTCGTTGCTGGATCAATTAGCACCAGTTGAATTGCTACACCCGCCAGAGGGCTCATTGACTCGATCGCACGGCCATCATTTGACACAGCTGGCGTCTTGGGTACCTGCTTACGGATACTGGGACAATCTTGCTCCTCATGTTTGAGCTTTTGAATCCAAATGCTCCAGCGAGGTCGTCAGTTTGTGGATCTCTACAGTCCGAGTCTATGTGCACTTGTTGAACACGGCCAGCATTCCTCCTCTATAGCAGAGCGAGACCTTCTAGACCTTCTAGACGTCAATCGAGCAGCGAGCAGCGCACCTGCAGTGCTCGCTGGCATTCAGACCATGGTGAGGAAAGGGCCCTATGCAATCCGCCAACCCCGTCTGGTGAGGAAGACCAGGGGAGCCTCCACTGAGGTGGGCAGAGTTGATCAATCAAATCAGCCTTATCAGGTGGCTACGCTTGCAGGGTCACTCGCAAGAAGGAGAATATGGAAAGTGAAAGGATAAGAACCGTAGACAAAAACCCAGTCAGAAGCTGGTACTTTTGTCAACCATTTCATATGCTGATGCCTCATCATACAGAGAGTTGATAAAATGGACCGTCTTGGACAAGGCTGGCTGTGTGGTTGGACCCCTAACGAAGGCGCTGGACCCTTGACTCGGACTGGCCTGTGCTTCTCCGCTGAAGTTGCGATTTTGGGCCTGGACTATGCCTTTTTAGGCCACGGGATGATGGAAAGTGCCGGGTCGGCGGCCGCATCTTGGGCGGCGCAACCTTGAGGGACGCCAATTCAATCTTGATTCCGAGAGCGATCCTGTCCTTGACAAGCATCATCATCAGCATCAATTTGTTGATGGTCTGACGTGCTTCCATCTGGCCTCGCTGGCATTGACGACACGCGAACGATCAAACACCATCGCCATGTCGCTTCGACCACTCAACACCCAGTCGCTCCATGGCGATCGCGAGGGTGCGGCCCACCTCCTATCGCCGGTGGGCTACGACGACGACGCCGCATCCCTCCACAGCCCGAGCGACCAAGACTCCGACAGCGACGACGACCAGCTCCAGCTCCGCGCCCGGAACAGCCGTGAACTTCGCGCTGCTGACAGGATAGTGTTCATGGAGGAGGACGAGGTAGACCGTCTGGTGACCGATTCGAGACGACAACGGCAAGAATCCCAGCGGCGAGGCTCCGGCCTCGCCCTTCCGAATCCTCTGCGCCTGCTGCGACGGGCAAGCGACTCGAATTTGTCCGTCAATGACGAGTCGGCCGACGACTACACGAACGAGAAGCGCCATCAACGCAAAACGAGAAGGAGGCAGAAGAAGGAAAAATTGATGGAGATGGCGTCTCATGGCGAGGATGGCGGCTTGATGTACGAGATGGAGGAGGGCGGCATGAAAGAGGGAAGCAGCACCGGCGACAGCAGCGATAGGGAAGACAGCAACGAGCTCGACCGGCGGAGACTGGGCATGGTCGCGAGCGCAAAGTCGGACCGGAGGCGCAGCTGGCGCAGATGGCTCCTCATGCACACCTTGATCGCTGTCGGCTTCACCATCCTTCTCCTCCTCGCCTGGAAGCTCTCGCTCGGCAAGAACTCCGCCAGGACCAGGCCGCAGCTGGTGAGCAACGGCACTGCCCTGTTCGCGCCGACAACGATCATCATCAGCCTGGACGGCTTTCGCGCCGATTTCCTGCAGAGAGGTATCACCCCACGGCTCAACGCTTTCGTTGCCGAAGGCGTTTCGCCCAAGTACATGATGCCGTCCTTTCCATCGGTCACGTTTCCGAACCACTATACCTTGGCCACCGGCTTGTACCCGGAGAGCCACGGCATCGTGGGCAACACATTCTGGGACCCCGAGCTTCAGGCAGAGTTCTATTACACGGACCCCGCTCGGAGTCTCGATCCCAAGTGGTGGAGCGGCGAACCTTTCTGGGTGACCGCTGAGAGGCAGGGCATCCGGACGGCAGTCCACATGTGGCCCGGCAGCGAGGCGCACATTGACGGTGTCGAGCCTAGCTTCCTCGACAAGTACAACGGCAAGGAGCTGCTGGCCAACAAAGTCAGTCGCATCCTCGAGTTCCTAGACATGCCCGGCAAAGAAGACCATGCCGTTGCCGTGGCAGAGATGCGCCCGCAGCTCATTGCTGCCTATGTGCCCAATGTCGATGGCGATGGCCACAGATATGGACCCAACAGCACGGAGATCCGTGCTACCATTGAGTCCGCCGACGGCATGATGGAGGAGCTGTTCGCTGGGCTCGAGGCCCGCAACCTGACACACATCGTCAACGTCATCGTCGTTTCGGATCACGGCATGGCGTCGACGGATACCGCGCGGGTCATGCAGCTCGAGGACCTTGTCGACGTCGACAAGATCGAGCACACAGATGGCTGGCCGCTCTATGGTCTGCGTCCCAAGGACCCTGCTGATCTCCAACGGCTGTATGACGGCTTGGAGGAAAAGACCAAGACGAACCCCAACTTTGAGGTCTACCTTCGAGACGTGAATATGCCCGAGCGTTATCATTTTTCCAAAAACCAACGAATCGCGCCGTTGTGGATCGTGCCCAAGACGGGCTGGGCCATCGCTGCCAAGAATGAGTTTGATGTCGCAGCAGCCGTCGAGAAGGGCGAGATCTATCACCCTCGGGGCCTCCATGGCTATGACCACGAGCATCCTCTCATGCGAGCCATTTTCATCGCTCGCGGGCCAGCGTTCCATCACCCGCCCAACAGCGAGATTGCGCCCTTCCGTACGTCGTTCCACCCCCTCTTCCCCAAAAGCTGTGAGAAGCGGCAGCACTAACGCGTGACAGAAAACACTGAGGTCTACAATATACTCTGTGACTCAGTCGGACTCGTGCCGAAGCCGAACAACGGCACACTTCGCCTTCCCCTCAAACTTTCCGGCCTCCACAAGCCGGAGGACGCACCAACCGAACTGGCAGATCCTGAGCCGACCACTTCTTCGACTACCGCGGCCGTCGATTCTACCACAAAAGAAACGATAACCCCTGCAGTCGCTGTAAGCACGGAGGAGGTGGCGAGCGTGTCGACGAAGGAGCCCACATCTACGGCGCCAAGCCCCAGCGCTACGCCAACAGGGGGCGACGATCCTGACAAGGACCTTGCAACGAGCATTGGAGATGGCATCAAGCATGCCTGGGATTGGGTGACAGGCAAGATTGGAGATGCTTGGGATAAGATCAACGGGTCAGGGTCGGATTGATGATTTTCTTGGTTCAGATTTTCGTGACGAGGGGTTGAGCACTTTTGCGTGTAGGATTTGGACGGATTCATCGGCGTTCTGGTGCGAGCATTGGTAGAGAGAGTACTGCAGGCACTAATTGTACAGGGAGCCTGCGTTGGCTTTTGACTGACTATTGGTCTTCTTCTGCAGAAGGAGTCAACTTTGATGATGTTCACTTGGATATGTTCGCAGGTTGTCTAAATCAGCTACCTTAGTCGGTGAGGGTGGCGCCTTGAATGCGAGCCCGCACATTACCAGTCCCTAAGATTGAGGGTGCCATTTTGCTGAGTCACGTTCCGGATGAGGACTCGGTCAGTGAGCTGGGCCTTGTGTTCGTTTCCCACATGGAAGACCGCAGCGATAACAGTACTGTGTGTATGCTACGCAGGCAGGTAGTCAGGAACAGCCGGCACATAGAGGTCTCATCATGTACTGCCCCCCCCCGGGCTCTGAGTATCTCTTCGTTTCGCACGAGGGCCCTGTAGCTCGCAGTGTTCGCGGACGTCAAAGTGGGGCAAGAGCTTCCGAAGAATGCCTCCCGGTCATCCACAGCATGCAATCCGTCTTTCTGCACCTTCCGCATCGCCAGCCTGACTGTGAGCTGTGACATGCACCAGTGCGCCTTCCTTGCCAAACATGTCACCGCGAAATCTAGTTGTTGACGTGTCTGCCTGCCAGCCTTCAGCACTTTCGCCCCTTCACGCATGCACCGTACGGATGCCTTCTTGACCTGAAGTGGCCACGCTATTTTACACTTTCATTCCCTACTGTACCCATCTTCACTACACCACCATCATCATTTACATACCGACCCTCGGACTTCCGACTCGGGTACTCAATGCCTTGCGATTTCCATGTCGCTCACTTCATTAGTATCGACAAGAGGTATAAGCTTCCCCCAGGCTTCCGGGCGTAGGGTCTTCCCATCTCCACAGACATATTTGATCAGCCCAAGTTGGCATTCACGTGTAGTGAACGATTCAAAGTCCTGCCCCAGACCGTACTGACGCCGCGCTTTTTAGGACGCTCGCATCGCCTCATCAGGCAGCTCATAGAGTAGTCCTTTGCCGCCTGCCTCAGAATCCCTTACTCCAGCGCAAGGGCACACCAATATCCAGAGTGGACGATATCGGGCTCTGAATCATCTCATCTTCTTTCATCGACGCCACTTTACACGACACAGGTCGACTTAGGTTACCACCTACCTTATTACTCTCAAGATCTTTCTCTCATTGGTATTTGATATCACTCCTGTCCCTGACTCGTCCAATATCGAACCTTCGGCCTACCGCGCGTCATATCTCAAGCTCCTTCCCTACTACAACACCATCCGGAGCCTGGTCCATCCAAGGCTTGCCGAGACTATGGCCGACTCGCGGGCTTATCAGGGCGACGCCGCACTCACAAATGCCGAGTACAACATTCGACAGCTTCGTGATACTCTCAAAGCCGAGCAGGACTACCTCAAAAAGCTGCCTCGAGACGGCCATGACACTTTCCTCGACGCTCAAATCCGCACAACTAGGCGCAAGATTGCGTCTCTCTGCGAACAGATCGATGCTGCCGAGGAGAGCAAGTGGCGCATCGCAACGCGATTTCCAGATGCGCGCATCACCGCCGATTGGCCCAATGACTCGTTCTCGCGGTTCTACGGCCATCGTACATATCCATCCGCGTATCACGAAGTAAATGCGCCGGTCCACGCAGGGACTGGGAATGAGACAGCCTCTCCCGCGAGCCATCGTGCCATCCCCCCCAATAGTAAGTGGAACCTCCCTCTCCTTCCAAATCGTATAGCCTGCCCAACAAAGCATAGCCGGGCTACCATCTCGCGCATGAAAGGACAATGGCAGTCTGCAGTTCTTGATTTGCCCCCTATTCTTACAAATGTCGCCCACGTTCGACTTTTCCTTTTCTACACTGCCTTCCGTACGCCCCATGAAGTCATCGATGTCCCAAACCCTGAACTACTGTTCATCCTCATGTACCATTTCCCAATGAGTCTTCGGCACCGAGTTGACACTACTCTTCAGGTCTTTACAGCCATCAAACCCGCCAGCCCGGGTTCCCGTCACACATGCCTGGCGATATGGCGTCCTCAAGCCACGGTTCAGGTTACGGACAGAGCGACTTACGATCACGGAGCAAGCGCGGCCTGAACAGCGTCCAAGGTGCACATGACGCCATGAGCCCCGGTCGCAGCAAGCGTCAGGCGTTCGTTGGCAGCCGCCGTAGCTCAACTGCTAGCGACAGTTCTGTTATGGATCTTACACAGTCAGTCCTTGTCGCTCACTGCTGGCATGCTTGATAACTTCTTACTGACATGTCGCAGAGCCGACGATAAGATAGAGGCTGCCGTCGCACAGAAAAGATCCAAGACCGAGACTCGTCGCCAGGGCCTCACCAACCCCATGACCAGTTCTCCCATTTTCCTAGAGGAGCGCTTGGTCAGACCAGAGTCCTCCCGGTCGAGCTCTCCAGTGCCAGCTTCCCTGTTTGGGCACCAACAAAGCTGGAGAGCCCCCAACAATGGCGCTATGAACATCATGCGCCGCGATGGTTCGCCGCGGCAGCAGCCGGCACTCACGGGGTTGGCCGCAACAATCCAGCGTACAAGTCAAATCGATTTCAATACCATGACCTACGGAAGTGGAGATGCTCTAGAAGAGAATACACAACGAGATCTGCATCGCATATTGGAAATTGACTCTCCTGGATCAGCCTATCAACGACAGGCAAATATTGGCGAGGAGGAAAGACAGCGCCAACATATTGAGCAGTTTGTCCGCACCCTCGGAGCTGAGACTCCGGATGACCAGCAGGTTGATGTGCCACCTGGCTTGCGTTATCCCCTATACGCTCACCAGAAACAGGCCTTGACCTGGATGAAGAAACAGGAAGCAAGCGTCCGCAAAGGCGGAATCTTAGGCGACGATATGGGTCTGGGGAAGACCATCTCAACCTTGGCATTGATGATGGCAAATCCCGCTCAGAACGGCAGTCGAGTATGCTTCCCACTTTAGCAGGCCCCTCATTCTGATCCTCACTGACAGTCAACAGACTACGCTTATTGTCGCTCCTCTTTCTCTCGTCAGACAGTGGGAGGAAGAGATAAAAGACAAGTTGTTGCCGGACCACCAGCTCAGCATTTGCATCTTCCACGAAAACAACCGACCATGCGCAGACGAACTGATGCGACACGACGTAGTCCTGACAACGTACCAGACTCTATGCAGCGAACACAAGAAAGTGACCACCTTCTGGACACAAGCCGCGGGTCGCAACGTCGACCAAGATAACGATGCCTTGCTTGCCCAGAGCGTCAGACTTTTCCACCCTACTAAAAGCATGTTCCACCGCATCGTTCTCGACGAAGCTCAGATGATCAAAAATCGAAAGGGGAAGACCTCCCTTGCTGCTACTGCATTGATGGCAAAGCACCGATGGTGCCTCACGGGTACACCCATGATGAATACTCTACACGAAATCTACCCCTTTTACCGGTTTCTACAAATCGAACCCTATAATGACTGGGCAATATTCCACCGCACCTTCGGGCCCCTCAAGAAGGGTGCGAATCCTGGCCCGGCCTTGAACGCCTTTAGGGTGCTCCTTCAGAAGACCATGCTCCGACGCGACAAGAAGTCAGAGATCAACGGGCAGCGAATTTTGCAGCTCCCTGAGAAAACTGAAGAGATCGTCCACATCGAGTTGGAAGGAGAGCAGCTGCAATACTACAAAGCCGTCACAGAGAACGCCCAAGTCATCTTCAATGCTTATATCAGGGAGGGCACTTCGCACAAGCAATACTCGGTCTTGCTCGTCCAGCTGCTACGAATGAGACAGGCAGTTTGTCATCCTCACCTCGTGCTCGATGATGAAGAAAGCGTGCCCCTAAATCGCGACAAGGAAGCGGCTTTGGAACTTGCCGTGACACTCAAAGCACCAGTTATCAAGCGTCTCATCGAGCAAGTGCGCGGAGCTATGGAATCTCTCGAAGGCTTTGACTGTCCTGTCTGCCTGGACAAGATTCCCAACCCTGCAATCCCCTTCCCATGCGGACACTACATGTGTTCTGACTGTCTCCGCACTCATGTTGAAAACGGCGAGCGTGATAATATCCGCCGCGGTGAGAATGTGCAACAGATTAGGTGCGCTGTCTGCCGTGAACCACTGGAGACGGAGAAAGTCATTGATCTCTCGACCTTCAAGCTGCTTCACATGCCTGAGCTTCTCGACGCAGAGGTGAACCACGCCAATGGGGAACGGGAAGAAATCGATAATAGCGGAGGTGAAGAATCTGACGAGTTCTCTTCCGATGACGAGGAAGAAAGTGCGGATGATGTCGACGCCAGAGGCAATCTCCAAGGCTTCGTAGTCGACGATGAGGATGACGAGTCATCTACTGCAGGTGCCCCTTCGCGTCACATCGAGGCAAAACAGCAGACCAAAAGCAAGCGTGGTACAACCAAGAACAAACAGGCAAAGCCGAAGGGTCCAAGGCGTAAAGTCAAGGCGACGATGCTCAAGGCACTTCGCAAGTCGGCGAAGAGATCGGCCCAGGATGGCCGCGACTACCGCCGCTACCTGTCAAAGCACTGGATGACTTCAGCTAAAGTACAGGCCTGTGTCGACCTCATCAAGCAGATCAGAGATGAATCGGATGGACGGGCCAAGACTTTGATCTTTTCCCAGTGGACCATGTTTATTGACCTGATGGAAATCGCTCTCCAAAAGGACGAAGAGCTCAAACATGTTGGCCATGTGCGCTACGACGGCGATATGAACATGAAGGATCGCTTTAAGTCTGCTCAAAGGTTCCGCGAGAATCCCAGGACCAAGCTCATGTTGATTTCCCTCAAGGCCGGAAACGCAGGTCTCAACCTTGTCCAGGCGTCCCGCGTCATTATTTTGGATCCGTTCTGGAACCCATTTGTCGAGATGCAGGCCGTAGATCGCGTCCACCGCATCGGACAGCAGAACGAGGTTAAGGTCTACCGTATTCTCGTCAAAGATTCGGTCGAGGATCGCATCATGGAAATTCAGACGAAGAAGCGGGAAGCTATCGAGGCCGCCCTTGATGGTAAGGCCAGCAAGGGCATGGGTCTCAGTATGGCGGATCTTCGCCACCTCTTCGGGTTCTGAGGTGTCTGAACCTGTCACGTATGCTGGGGTTTCCGCGAGTTTTCTAAGCAGTATGGCTGCATTTTGCGTTCTCCGGTTGGGATCCACTACAGGGCAGGCATCATGCTATCTCATCTAGACCCAGCAATGATATGGGTGTGGCGTTAGGGGCCACGGAGAACATGATAGCATCAAGGTTTCGGAGTTGCTTCTCAGTCAACAGGCGCCGGGCGTCTATCTGGATCATCTTCCGGGGATACGCACAGACTGATTTTGAGGGAAGATAGAGGAGGCCAGGACAAATAGCTCATTTTGGGTTTAGCTTCTTTGCGTTTGTTGCGATACTGTGATGCATGCTCTATTGGTGAATGATGCTGTCCGCTGGGCATGAATTGCCCAGACAATCCATGGGTGCAGCGCCTCGTGCTGACCTAACTATCAGAAGTAACATTTCCGGAGCCCATGGAGCCTGCATCCTGCGTTTGTTGTAGCTTGGGGTGAAGACCTGGTAGAATGTGCTCATAAACACATGGTCTCACTAGAAGAACCCCAGACACCTTCCCGGGTGCGCCCAGGGACATTTCCCTGCTGCATTCAGGCGACATGCCAAAGATAGGTGAGTAGCGTGGATCATATCAAAGAGTCCGTGAGACATCTTGTTTCCCGTGGCAAGTCTCCGTCCCAGGAGCCGAAATCATGACTTGGGGGCGCAATGACTTTGGAGGGCCGCGCCAGCATTTAATCAATAACACAGAAGACTAGCACACTAGAGGTACATGATGGCAGGCTGTAGCAATTCTGGAACGCGAAATCGCCGCTGGGTGCGTGGGACGGCCACTTGCAACCATGGCAAATGTTGAGCGCGACGATGCGATTCTGTAAACGAGCTTGAAATTGCCCTTTCCCTTTTGCACTCTACGCAGCATCGCATCTCATGTCAAACGCGCAGGATTTTCATTGTGGAAGCTCAGAGTGGGTATCTTGGCTACCTAGAGGCTACTGAAAGGTGGTTCATCGTGGCCGATGTGCTTTGTATACCTCGCGACAGGCTGATGTCTGGTACGTTCTTTATAGCTTCAGTTCATACGAAAGCATGCCCCAGCCGGCATCGGTCGTATCTGCCCCGATGCCGCAGCTTCCAAAGTCGGGAAGCAATGCACACCAAAGCTTTCTCAGTCTCATCAACTCATGTCGAAGAAAAACTGGACTGGACTCCAGCGGCCATCTGCCTCGGCCAACAGCGCACCAGGCATATGTGACAGTTCTTGGTCACCAACAGGAACGGGCGGCGACTAGACAGCCTCCGTAGCCGTAACGACCGCCTCGATGATGTCCTTGATTTTGATCTTGGCTGGTGACGCCTGACCCTCGCCACCGGGGACACCGTCGAAATGCTCGAATTTGGTGCGCGCTTCGCTGCCCTCGCACCAGATCCCGGAGGCCTTCAGAGTGAGCCTTTCTGACCCATCGGCGTTGCTCTTTTCGTCGAGCTCAAAAGCAATCTCGCGCGCATCGCGCGTGCTGTCCTGAATGGCGTTGCCGCGGACCGATTTGACCCAAATAGGATCGCTGGTCTCTGCTGCGGGCTCCGTAGTCGCCTGAGAGGGGTTGGAGCCCAGTGATTCGGCTAGCGGCAGATATAGGTCGGCGAGAGCGCGTGGTATAGCAGTCAGAAGATAGACCTTCAGAGACTGGAGGTCTGGGTAGCCGTCCCGCTCTCGGTACGGAGGGCAGGAAGTCAAGAGAGAGTTTTGGGTTGCGTCCGTGCTGTCCAGCGGCGGAAGGAGGTGAACCTGGTACTGTGTAGTTGTGAGGGGGAGGAACCACGTACGGCCGCGAATCTGGATCCTCGCCCGCGGCGTCAATGTGACATCGAGTTGGAAGTCTGAAGGGGCTAGAAGGAGATTGACGAGAGCTTGGGCTGCTGTTGGGCGATTGGAAGACGTCGAAGTCAGGGCATCGGAATTGGGCAGGACGAATTGAGGGTTATTAAGAGTGAAGGCAGCCTCCTCAATGCCCGACTGGCGCAAGATACGTACCAAATCGCCGACGAGGCGGGTGCACTGTCTGACTGAGACATCGTGGATCGCCCGTGATAGGATGGGGCGAATGAGATGATATTGATTGTGTTGTTCGTGACGGCGCTGGTGGGGAGGTCCCGGCCTCCGGCGCTGCACCTCGTTCTCGCGATGAGCATAGCTGAGGAGCACATGAAGACTCAACTGCGTCACTTCGGCGTACCAGGTGTCGGGCTTCGTTTCCTGGGCCGTGGGCGCCACACCCAACAGCGTGTCCAGAGAGATATTGATGCTAGGGCCCGTTTTCGGCTCATAGGTGATGCTGCTGTCGCTAGCACGCACACCATAAGAGGCTAGAGAATGAGCCTCACGATGAAGCTCGTGCCACAGTTCTTGAGAGAAGATGGTGTTTCTAGCCTCCAAAACTCGTTCCTGCAGTGGGGCCGACTCTAGAATTGACGAGCTCGTAGTGGACTGTCCGCTGATCTCACCATCTCTTGCCAACGTGACAGAGATGCGTTGGCAGCCGACCCCTGCTCGCCCCTGCTCCAGCACGACCGAGCCGTCGTCCCCACGCCGCAGAGGTGCAAGGCTGTTGTTCCGAAACTCGGAGGATGCTGCGCAGTTTAGCACGTGCCGCATAGCATGGTGGTTGGAAAACACTGACCTTCGGTGAAGCCAAACCTCACACCCAGGGTATGACGTTCGGCCGGCAATCTACACATGGACCAGCCATTTTGCTTGACCGCTAGAATCTCGCTCCAGTACTTTTCTTCCCGATCAACTTCTTTGGCGAGCATGGCGGCCGATTTCTCTGCCGCCTTTTTCGTCCGCTCAATTTCCATGAGCGTCCATCCCTGGGAAACTTCCTTGGCCTCTTGCCGCTTCTCTTCCCTTCGTCTTTTGTCGCCTGCTTGCTCCGAATCCTTGAACTTGGACACCCCAAGCGTTCCGATTCCGGCAAAGTCGCGTAGAGCCTGTGACAAGGTGACTCCCGCCTGGTTGGGATTGTGCTTGGTCAGAAGCAGAGAAACGAAGTCGAGGGCCACCATGGCTGTGTTGTGTGCAGCGCTGCGATTGGTTAACAGAGGCGCTCAAACATACAAGCAGCGCTTCCCGCTCACTCTATATTGCGCATGATTTCGCCCTTGACTGTGTGTATATCCTTGGCCTCCTCGACATCTTCGTCGTCCGTCACGGACATTTGAATGTCGTCCTCTTTTGCCTCGCCATTCGTCTTGGCCGCGACCTCCTCGCGGAGGCTTGCCTCGGTGACATTGCGGAAACCGCGTTCGGCCTGTATCCTCCCAATGAATTCGCCCAGGTTCTTTGGTTTGCGACTGCCAATGGGCGGCGGACGCAAGGATGTGTAGGGTGATTGTGTCGGATTGTTCGCCATGATGCGCTTGGGGTGCGTTGCACGGCGATATCGGTGGCAGCAATTGGCTCAATTTTAGCGTCGGATCCTCGATGTCGGTCTTTTCATTGTGCAAAGCGCCGCACAAGAGTTTGCCCCCGTCTGCTCGATTGGGATGCGGAAGGCTGCGATGCGGAAGGCTGTGATGCACAAGTGCTCGGACAGTTGGTGTTGAGGTGAAGTCAAAGAAGCCCGACGTAGCCCTGCAGGGGGATCGACAAATCAGTGCCCAGCTGCAGGAGCTCAAGTGGGTCGCAGAGGCGGGTTGAGTGGGTGCATCGGGTTGGGCGGTCTCTTAGAGCGATGAATGCCGTAATGGGTGGCCCAAAGAGCTGACAGAGAGCTGCCATCGTTCTAAACCGCATGGGGGTCCCATCTGCTGTAGGTTGGCGGGGCCCTGAATGCGAACGAACGAAATCAACGGCGACGTACCAGAGACGCGGGCCATAGCCAATCTTGAACCATTTCTCACTGGTATTATTATAGAATTACAGTCACCGCACCCACCATTGGCACGGAGCCTCTCAGTGGGCCCAAGGGGGGGCTGTTTCTCAGGGCTTGAGACCAGACGGGCCGTTCGAGCTCAGAGCTCCGTAAACCCCTCACAAACGAGGCTTGGGGGAGATGGGAAATTTCCCTCAACAACCCCCCCCAAGGCTTTGAGAGAAAAAAAGAGCGAAGAAAGCTGACTCCGGTCCGACATAGGAGGGGAAGATGGATCTTGTTTTTCACGACCTTGACGCAAGGTTGCCCTCCTCTGACAGGATAGAACAGGGCAGGTTAGGACCAAGCATCAGATCATATTCCTACGTACATGCCCAGACCCCTCATTCCCAAGCTGTTCGTTGCAAGGTACCTACCACTTAGTAGTTAAAGGTACCTAGTTGGCCCATGTTGAAAGACCCCGCGTCGCCCGACGATAAGCGATAAGAGCTCTCGAAAACCCTCTCCCTTGGGGGTTCCTTGTGCCCCCCCCCCCCCCTGTCCATCCACTGTCTGTCCCACGTCACAGGCCCTGGCACGCTAAAACACCCTAGCTGTCTGGACCGCCTATGCGTGTGTCTCGCACGACGCCCAGAGGTTTCCCACCGAATCCGGCACCGACTGCCTCACCCGCCGCGACTCAACCAGTACGACCGGTCTTATTTAGGGAGCGGCTACCTATCTAGCTCCTCCAATCTACTTCGTCCTCGCGCCTCGTGCATTCCGAGGCTGTTCGCTTTTGCAGGTCTAGTCCGCTCGCCTGATCAGCTCTGCCTATCCTGTTCCACCCTCCAGTACCCCTCCAAACCTTGGCCGAACCTATTACACATCTACCTTGTAGGATCACCCACCTTATCAATTCCCCTCCTTTGAGCTGTGGCATCTCTTTCTTACATCGACAGCTCTTAGATTTTAGTCTACTTTTCCTTCCCTTCCCTTCCCTTCCCGAATTCAGCGAGAGGACATCGGCCGTCCGGACAGACGACCGAACCGCCATCATGGCCACGAAGAAGAAGATCGCCGTCATGACCTCGGGAGGTGACTCCCCTGGCATGAACGGTGTCGTTCGTGCTGTGGTCCGCATGGCCATCCACCTGGGCTGCGATGCCTACTGCGTGTACGACGGATACGAGGGCCTCGTCCAGGGCGGCGACAGCATCAGAAAGGCCGAATGGCGGGACGTCCGCAATTGGCTCTCCCAGGGCGGCACCCTGATCGGCACCCAGCGTTGCATGGCCTTTTTTCGAGCGTAAGGGTCGCCTCACCGCCGCCAAGAACATGATCCTCAGCGGCATTGACGCCATCATCATCTGCGGTGGTGATGGTTCCCTGACCGGTGCCGACAAGTTCCGCGCCGAGTGGCCCTCCCTCCTCGAGGAGCTCGTGTCAACCGGCCAGCTCAAGCCCGAGCAGGTGGAGAAGCACAAGCACCTCAACATTGTCGGTCTTGTCGGATCCATCGACAACGACATGTCCGGCACGGATGCCACCATTGGCTGCTACTCTGCCCTCGAGCGCATCTGCGAGATGGTGGACTATATCGAGGCCACTGCCTCGTCCCACGCACGCGCCTTTGTCATCGAGGTCATGGGTCGCCATTGCGGCTGGTTGGCCCTCATGGCTGGCGTTGCCACGGGAGCCGACTTCATCTTCATCCCGGAAAAGCCTAGAGACGACCACTGGGAGGAAGACATGAGTGCCATTGTGAAGAGAGTAAGCGCAGGGTGGCTCCACGGCTGTTGTATGGCACAGAAAGCTGACGAAATCCTTTCTAGCACCGCGCTCTGGGCAAGCGCAAGACCATTGTCATCATTGCCGAGGGCGCTCACGACAGGCACGGCAACAAGATCACTTCCGAAATGGTCAAGAACATCCTGGCGAACAAGGACGGCCTTGCTCTCGACACCCGCATCACTACACTAGGCCACGTCCAGCGCGGCGGCACCGCCGTGGCGTACGACAGGATGCTCGGCACCCTCCAGGGTGTCGAGGCCGTCAAGGCTGTCCTCGAAGCAACGCCCGAGACGGAGACGTGCTTCATCGCCATCACAGAGAACCAGATCACACGAAGACCCCTTATGAAGGCTGTGCAAGACACCAAGCAAGTCGCCAAGGCAGTTGATGCCAAGGATTTCGAAACGGCCATGGGCCTTCGCGACACCGAGTTCGCCGAGATGTTCACTTCCTACATGATGACAACCAATGTCAGGGTGGACGACGCTCTACTGGAATCCAGCGAGGTATGTCGATGTGACGTGCTTTGGGAATCAGTATTCTCTTACTAAACGACCTGTAGAGGATGAAGATTGGATTCATCAACGTCGGCGCCCCTGCCGGCGGCATGAACGCCGCAGTCCGCGCCGGCGTGGCCTACTGTATCTCGCGGGGCCACGAACCCATCGCCATTCACAACGGTTTTGCCGGCTTCACCAGGCACACGATGACCAG